AGTAGCAAAGATTACAAGAGTGAACCACTGACTCTCACCTATAACTAGCAAATTTATGCATTAAGAATAAGTAATAATCCTTAAATACTAGATCCGTAAGTATTTTAAAGAATATAATTACCAAATATATATTACTTGAACTGTAGCACAAATAAAAACAGCCTAAGAAACAATAGATCAAATTTCAAGATTAATTGGTACAGTTCTAAGTTTACTTAGCAAAATAAGAAGTTTGCATTTTGCTAGTAGTATTTGATGACAGGACTAATATATGATGACTATGAACATTTTAACTTTCAAGATTGTTACTCTTATTTATACTTTTTAAACTTAATTTAATTTTGGTGGTAACCGAGGTTTACATTCAGGTCTTCAAACTTGAATGGAGCCATGTTGTTTCGTAGTTATTTTGAAGATGGAGTCTATCAAACTTTTCTGGTCTTCAGTCATGTTTCTCCAGATCTCAGCCTCTTGAATAACTTAACTTCAAAGAGTGAGATATTGGTGGATGACCTTGTTGTTTTAAAATAGCAATGAGCAATCTAAAACATAGAGAGACACTAGAAGGCATATTATGTAAGGGCTGTAAGGATGATTAAGTGCACTACTCAAGAATAGGTTACAAAACTAAAAGTTAAGAATATACTTAACATCTACCAAAATATGTATGAGACAACTACACTACAAAAAATTGCTGAGATTAAAAATATTTAAGTGGATGGAGTCTCAGTATCATTTAAAAATGTCAGTTCTCTCTAAGTTTATCTATTGATTCCATGCTTCTCCATCAAATTTCTAATAGATCGCTTTTAAAAAATTGGCAGGCTCTTTAAAAAAATTATAGAAATACCAAACAACCAGAGTAGCCAATAAAATTAAAAAAAATAGATATGTTACCCACCATATTTAAATTTTAGAAAACCTAAAGAAATATGACTCCTAGATACTGGCAAAAATGGATGAATGGAACAAAATGGAGACTCAATATACTGATACATTGAAGATAGGAACACAACCAATAGGGAAAACTTTCAAATGATGTTGAGGGCATAAGACCTGTGTTTCATAGTTGTTGTTTATGTTTTACTTTTTATTTTATGTGTCAAATTATTCTAAAATTATTGCACATTTTCTAAGGATTAGGAATTCAGCTGAGTCTTTGCATTCAAAATTGCTCATAGAGTTATATTGAATGTGTCTGACTAGGTTTCAACCAGGTCTCAAGTAGGCATGGCCCAGTTCTACAATAACTTACCTGGTTGTTGAAGGCTTCAACTCTCTTTTGTTGTTAACTGGGTATAGAAAAATATAGAATACATAGATTTAAACGTAATATAACAAGGAAAATGGCATGTTATCATTTTCTCTGTATGTAATTGAATGCAGGACAAAAGAAGTACAATGTTGGAGGGAGGTTATGAATACCAGAAAGTATTCACCATCTGTGGTACTGGCTACCACACAGATATAAATGCTGGCAAGGATGTGAGCAAAAGAGAACTCTATTACACTGTGGGAATGTAAGCTTGTTCATCCATCTGGAAAGCAGTAAGGAGGTTCCTAAAACAAGTAAACATTAAACTATCCTATGTCCTAGCAAGTCCACTTCTGGCATTTATCCAATAGAGCACAAACAAGGTCACTGTAAAGCCACCAGCACAATGATATTCGCTGTGGCACTATTCACCACATTGAAGATAAGGAATCTGCTCCGATGCCCCTCAATAGATGAATGGATCAATAAAATGTATACTGGACCACAAGGGATAAATCATATGGGGAAAAACATGAAAGAAAAAAGAAATCACATAGTGTATTACAAACAACAACAATAAAGAAAAACTCTTGTTTCCATATCTTGGAGTTCATTTCACTTAGCATCATCTTTATATGGCGATATGCACAAAGCTAATGGGCTATTATGATCCTGGGAATTGTATATTTGTTTATCTGAAATAGGGAAGGGAAACGGAACAGCAAAATGGTGAGACAAAGGACAAAGGGCAAACCAATGTAACAATGATACTCACAAGACAATATTTTGGAAATGAACTGTACAACTTGGGAGAGGTATTGTGGGAAGGGAAAGCGGGAGAAAAATGAGGGAAGGGGTAACAAGTTTGATAAGAAATGTACTGTACCTTATGTATGTAACTATAACCCCTCTGTACATCACCTTGACAATAAAATTAAATTTTAAAAAATGTGGTATCTATATAACAATGGAATTCTACTCATTCATCAGAAAGAATAATATTGTACCATTCATAAGGAAATGGAAGACTTGGGGGGAAATTATATTTAGTGAAGTAAGTCAAACCCAGAGAAACAAAAGTTACAAGGCTTTCCTCATTTGTGGTAACTGGAATATACCTATAAATCTATAAGTAAACACACTGGATGATATGCAACCTGTTACAAATGAATTATAATAAACTATGGAGAGTTAAAACAGTGTAGGGGTAACAACGATTGTCAAGTAATATACTCATTGTCTTTCTCGTGTAACTGTAAATACCTCTGTACAAGACCTTAGCAATAAAATTTTAAAAAAATAAAAAAGTATAATCTTTTAGGAAGATTATGTCAATGCCCAATTATACCAGCACCAGGAAATAGATACATGCAAGAAGGGCAGAGTGTAAAGGAATGAACAAGGAAGTAGGGTGAGAATGCAGTCAAGAATTCACTATTTGGGTCTGGGAAGGTGGCTCAATGGTAGAGTGCTTGCCTTGCATGCATGAGGCCCTGGGTTCGATTAGGCAGAAAAAGCCACAAGTGGTACTGTGGCTCAAGTGGTAGAGCCTTGAGCTGAAGAGCTAAGGGATAGCACCTAGGCCTAGAGTTAGGCCCCACGACCGGAAAAAAAAAAAGAAAAAAAGAAAAGAAATAAGAATTGCTTATACCAGGCCCAAAGAAACATAGGTCCCATGGTTTCCCTTATTTGCAATAACTAGTATATGTCTGAGACAAGCAGAAAAGGTCAGACAAGATGATGTTAGACAAAATGAATCCTAAGATAAGGACACAAGTGTTTTTTTTTCTTTCTTGCTATTGTTTCTAACATAATTATAAGGTAACATGATTTTTTTTGTTGCTTTTTATGTCCCTCACCCTGTGTATAACCCCTATTTTCACTGTATTTGATGTTGGTATAATTTGGGGAGGGGAAGGGAAAAAATTGTTTAAATAGGGATACTGGTGACCCATTGCAACAATGAGACCTACAAGACACTATGTCGAAAAACAAACTTTACAACTTTGGCCTGCAGTGTGTGTGTGTGGCGGGGGAGGGAAGGGGAGGAAGTATAGTTGTAGAGGTGGGGAGGGTAGGGATGTTAGGGGAAAATCAAAGGAGGAGGCAACAATGCTTGATAAGAAATGTACTCATTACCTTGCTTACATCATTGTAACCCCTCTGTACGGTATTTTCACAATAAAAAACTTGTTAAAAAAGAAAAAAGAAAAAGGATTGGTGTGTCAAAGGGGTGAGGATGTTGAAGGGGATGACACTGATGAAAATGCATTATATTCATAAACTGCTTTGTTAAGTAGCACCTCCTTTGTGCAATTATTTAAAGATAAAAATATATCTTAAAGAAATAAATAATATTAAATGTACAAAGTACTTAGAAAAGTTCCTGTTAACAGCATTATATAAATATAATATATTCTAATTATGATTGTACCAGTTACTTTGATATTTGATGACAATAATAACACATTTGAGATACTATGTTTTGCTTTATAGGTCGTTATGAGGTTTTCTTATTAAACACATTAAAGGCATGATTAGTACGTCTTTTGCTGAAACTGGTGGTTCCAATCAAAGGAATCATTTTAGTATTTACTGTAAAGTTCTTAAAGTGGGATATGAATGAATATAGAAACTGTCATGTTGGTTTTGATGAAAATTTAGAGAACTGCCCTCCTAACTAGAGTCTGATCCTGATTACATTATATTTTAGGCTAAAACATTACCCTTCTAGACTTTGATAGATAATACCATGTGTCAGTTTCCGGTTTCAGTAGCAGTAAATAGAGCCAAAGTGCCAGGTGCAAGCTGAGATGATGTTTCCATACACAACAGTTTGGAAGCCAATGCTAGTGTTCTGTTTCCCCTGGATCAACTCATCTTTCTGACATTGAGCAGTTACTGGCTCAGTGCTCTGATGATAGAAGGTCAAAATAAATGGAAGTCACTGTGGAGGAATCTTCAGGACAAATACCTTTGCACAAAAAAGTTGTTAATTTTATTGCAGTTTATATCTTCCTTTTCAAAGTCAGAACCATTGCCTCTTAGAATTTTCACAGGTTCAATGAGTGGGTTTATAGCATTTCTGAATTTAATAGGTTTCTTTTAAAGGGAAGGAAGCATTAAACTTTAAGTTAGAAATAGATGAGTGGTCTAAAGTTAAGTGAAACAAGTTTCCCTCCATCATGGCTTTATAGGATATTGGTAGTTACTAATATTTGTATTTTCTGGATAATCCAAAATCCTTTCTTTTTTCACAATACTCTCCCAAGTTATTTTGGGTAAATTACCTTTTACCCAGGGCACATTAGCCTGGCAATCTTTGGAAAATAGATTGAGGCAAACTTTTATTCTGAGTCTTTACTAGTGAATGTCATTCAAGTGAAAAATAAGCAAAAAATGAAAGAGACTAAGAAAAAGCAATACAAACTAATGTCTTTTGAACGTCATGAAAGCCCCGATGTTAACTCTGTCATGAAGAATAACTCCTGAGAGCCAGTTTGAAACCCTTTATGATTATTGAAATAGTCTTATTTCCTGACTGTCAATTAAGTCTGTTCTACATAGTGTTAAGTCTTCCATACTGGCGAGTTGTGTTAATCAATTCTTTTCTTTTATATCATCTCCAGAAAGAAGAAAGCTCTTTTGCTATGATTTCCTCTGCAAATGGATTCCATGCTGATTCTTTCCTTGAAAGAAATGGTGTTCTAGTCCTCACTGAGAATAATCTGAGCTAACTTTATATAAACCTGTAGCTTTCTTCACGAATTTGCATGTCATCCTTGCGTAGGAGCCATGCTAATCTTCTCTGTATTGTTCCAATTTTAGTATAGATATGCTGCCAAAGCGAGCACAAACCTATCTGACTGTAGAAATTTGAGATAGTAGAGACTACCATGTGAACTGTTCTCTGGAAAATGGAAAATACTCAGTCAGGAAAAGCTTGAAAGTTTGACTAGTCTGTTGCACCATAAATGAGAATCTTATGCAAGCTATGTTTGGGGAGGATAATGGAATTCTACTGAATTCTACTGAACATTATCCTATCTAATTCTCCTTCATTCAGTAATAGCAAAATACACACAATGCCTCTGGTAGGACTTCCCAAAAAGCAGTGTTTTCGTTGTTGTTGTTTGTTTTGTCAGTCGTGGGGCTTGAACTCTGGGCCTGGGTGCTGTCCCTCAGCTCTTCAGCTCAAGGCTAGCGTTCTACCACTTGAGCCACAGTACCACTTTTGGCTTTTTCTGCTTATGTGATGCTAAGGAATCCAACCCAGGGCCTGATGAATGCAAGGCAAGCGCTCTACCACTGAGCCACCTTCCCAGTCCCCCCCAAAACAGTTTTAAAACACTAAATTTGCCACTCTTGTATTATCAACCACTATAGGATATTAAACATTATCAGGTTGAAGCTGAGTGCTTGTGACTCGCACATGTATGAGCTGCTAAAGATCCTGAGATCAGAGGATTATGATTTAACCAGACTAGGCAGAATAAACTAGAAAACTCCATCTTCAAAATAGCCTGCAAAAATCCAGCTACCAATATGGCTCTAATGAAAGAGCCCAAGCTGAGCAAGCAAGTTGAGGTAGTACAAGACCCCATGTTCAAACCCAGCACATGCGTCCAATCTATACTTTTTATACACAGTATATTTTAAACTGATTTTAAAGCATAACTTCTCATTTCAATAAATATCTAATAAAATAACACCAACATGAATTTTCTTGGTGAAAAATTTTACTTTGATCTCTATAGTAATATAGTCATTTTTCCTGAAATTTGTTTTTAATATATTGTATTTACCATTTAACATAGTATATTATCATAGTTACATATAAGTACATATACATAAGATTTTTTAGTAGTTGTGGATTTAAACTCTCAACTTCAAGCTTTCTATGTAGGCATTCTGATATGTGAAGACATGCTATGCTCATCCTTTATGATTTACTTACATTTTAAATAAAGTCGTGGTTTTTCCAGGATATCCTTGGATTGTGATCCTACAATGTAGACCTATATAGCTGGGATTATATCCTTAAAATATAAAGAATTTAAATTAATTTTAATGAATATCTATTAGAGCAAAAATAGGCAGAATTTGAATTAGTTAATGTAAATTTAGTTAAAACAAATAAGAGATGTGCAGACTGTTGCAAGTATTCTTAAAGAGAAGAAATAACAGAAATAAGGTCACAAGTTAATAATGAATAAAAATCTGACTTGAAATCCTTTCATAAAAAAATTATTTCCCTTGCAACCCATTTCCCACTATCTTTACTAACATCTAGTGATTTAGTTAAAAATGAAACACACCAATCAAATCATTTTTACAGTTGAATAATTTAAAATACATTTCTTTGATCAAATCTGGATGTTCATATATAATATAAAAGTCTTACTGAAGTTTGCAAAAGGAACTGATGCAGAAACTAAGCATTACAAATGGTTTAAATTTATCTGCATGCAAAAGACTGAAACTAGTTTCTCACCTTCTACAAAATCAACTCCAGAGGATCAAAGATAATTAATATAATGGCTGATACTTTAAAGCTACTACAGGAAAATAGAGGAAAGACTGGAGGTTATAGTACTACTGTTTCCAATAGCCTGCAAATAAGGCCAGGAAAGTAATAAGTGGGACTGTATCATATTATAATTTCTGTATATCAAAAGAAACAATCACCCAAATCAAGAGACAACTCACAAAATAGGAGAAAATCCTCACTATTATTCAATAAACATAGTATTAATATCTATAATATATGAAGAGCAAACAAAAATTGAGCAGCAATAGAATAGGTAATCTAATTAATAAATGGACAAGTAAATGACCATAGTTCTGAGAAGAAAAAATACAATGTTTAATAAACACAGGATGTTCAATATCTTTAGCCATAAAATGAATGCAAAACAAAGGGGCAATAGCTTCTATCTCATCCTAATCAATATGCCAATTATCAAGACAGTAATCACAACAAATGCTTTCAAAGATGCAGGGGAATTGAACCCCACATAGTACTGGTGGGAATGTCTACAAGTACTATGGACATTGGTATGGAGGCTTCTTAGCAAAGTAAATCCTGACCTATGTTTATCCCTTCCATACCACTGTTGGGCATACATCCAAAGGAAAGTAGGTCAATATGCAATAAAGATAGCTGCAAACCTATGTTTACTGCAGATCTGTTAACAATAGCCCAACCGTGGAATCAACCACTGAGTCCTGGATCCCAACGCAGAAATTCTATTTTAAAATAGTAGAAGTCTAATAAAAGTGAATGTCAAATTTATTTCTCCCCCAAATGACCACATCTTTTAAAAGAAGCAGAAGCTTTATCTTTGTAGGTCATAAGCCTAGATCTGTAGACTGAGCTTTTGTTTTTCCAGCAAAAGCAGTCCAGACTAGCTACTTTCAGATAATATAGCAAACAAGAAGGATAGGCAATCACAATCCTGAGTGGTAATAATTGCATCCTCTTTTTTCTGATGTACGTGGACACTCCAGCCCCCTTTGTTCTCCTCCTTTTCATACTTATTGTTGTTATTATTGTTACATAGAATCAGTCATAATTTAATACCATTTTCTTGGTTATGACTATCTATTCTATGACTTTCTATTCTATTTATTCTATGACTGTGTATTCTACTCAGAAAAGACATATATTTATAAATTTCAAAAAATGTCATCAGCTTAATTTATTTGGTAGAAAATTCGAAAGCTACCAAATAAATTCAACTTATTTATGAGGTTACAATGTTTTTCCCCACCTACTGTGGAAAAATACTTAAGAATTATAGGTCCACAACAGGTACTTGGCATCATTACAAAGAACAGGTCTTTTTCCACTTTAGTGCATCTTGTCTGGGATTGATGAATTTTTGTAATTTTTTCTTTAAAGCATTTTTAATCCTTTTAATCCTTCTTATCTTTTTCTCTTTACCATCATATTGATCCACTAGATCACCCCCTTAGACCTTTATGCTTTATTATTTTTTTTTTTTGGGTCCGGTCATGGGGCCTGAACTCTGGGCCTGGGCACTGTCCCTCAGCTCTTCAGCTCAAGGCTAATGCTCTACCACTTGAGCCACAGTGCCACTTCCGGCTTTTTGCATTTTGCTTATGTGGTGCTGAGGAATCGAACCCAGGGCTTCAGGCATGCAAGGCAAGCGCTCTTCCACTGAGCCATCTTCCCAGCCCCTGCTTTATTATTTTTATCATGATCATCATTACCATCATCTATCATTCTTATTATTATCATTATAGGACTAGGTTCTGTGAGAGAGAATATTTTAAGGTTCATTTTTAGCTACAGCTATTATGATAAATATTTTTGTGTGAAATGATGAGAGATACAAACAAAGAAAGAATAGATGTGTAAGATATAATTGCTTGACTTTTAGTTCTATAGAGCATACATATCATCCTCAGTCATTTTCAGAAAATTCCACTCCTATAAAACCAATTTATGTCAGAATCAGGATGTTGTAAGCATGAGGTCAAAGTGCTAAATGATCAAATCTGAACATATAAGATAATGATATAGTAAAGGGAAAAATAAATGTTATGAATGAATTCTATATTACTTAGTAATATTTTATTTCCCTAAATCCAATATTTTCCTTCCTGAAAGCTTTCTGAAATTCAGTATAAATTTCTTTGTAGTATTAGTGAAATACATTATGCAGCTTTTATTAATTGACATTGGTATTCTCTCTGCTCCCAAATTCTGAGATCTTAGTTGAGGATCTTTATATGAAAGAGACTAGGAAACTTAAATAAAAATTACAGTATTGTTTCTATAGCAGTAGTCTGAATATTCACTGTAACCAGAAGTATATGAAGTCAGTGACTATGAATAGAAACTATTTTAGGAGAAATAATTTCTGTAAATAATTAGATCCATAACAACAATCTTATAAAATTTCAATTTGTAAAAATTCAAATTTTCTATGATGATTTGGGTTCATCTATATTAACATGAAGCTGAGAGGCGATTATTGCAAATAACCCAGAATATTCAGAACCTCTTCCCTTGATTTTGAAAAGGCTATAATTGAATTTCTCTTGACATAAAATTGTGGTACAAGGCAATTTTCTATATGCATAAGAAACTGACTCATTATGCAATCACTTATACTAAGCCATATGGTCATGAGTAGCTTGCAGCTGACTATGGATTTCACAGTACAATCAGTAAGGATACATTTTCAAAACCTTCAAGAGGAAATTTTATTCATGATACATCACATTTTAAATTGTGATATATTCATATCCATACTTAAGGAGACATTAGGCTTTCTTCAGTTTTCCAAGTTCATACTTAAGAAAAGATAAAGCTCACATCACATAAATGTTATATGTAGTATCCTTAAACAAATCTATTACCTGGAAAATATGATCATTCTGGAAAAAGGATAACTGGAAATTCTTAAAGAAGTAAAGTACATTGAAATGTAACAAGTATAATTCATAGAGTCAAGATGAGAAACTAGTTAAAATACATTTGTATTTAACTTTGTAAACCCCAACAGTATTTTAGCTCCCTTTTCTCCTAAAGGTAGTACTCAAGAAGATACTTCAAGTACTATCTGAAAAAAAAAAGAATCAACTGGTTTCTTTTGAAGATTAGTTCTTAAATAAGTGTGATGTAATCTTTATTTGACTCATAGTTTCTTTGGCTGATTAGGTTTTAATGAAACGTTATAAATGGAAATCAGGTAGAGGAGATGTAGATGAGAGGAAGGCAATGTGATAGATAAGTGGGGAAGGATTTTCTAAAATAAAACACAGACAACCAAGAAATATAAAACTCTCTACATTATTTTACCAAGAAGTTGTGTGTTTTATT